AAAAAAAAAAAAAAAAAAGCTGAAGCAAAATAAGTAGATAAAGAACAACATTTAGGTCAAAGAAAATATTGTCCTGCCAGGATTTGTCTTTACTGCCCCAGACAGCACAAGTTTGCAATAACATTGCTTAACCCAAGTGAGAACAAATGCCTGCACCATGACCCAGGTGTGCCTATAAAAGCAGTAAAAGCAGTTACTGAATAATGGTCTCACACAGAGCATTCTGTGCAACCTTGACAGCCCTCATTTAACAGCACATACTCTGGCCTTGGACACACTGTAAGAATTCATTACAATGCTACCAATGTTAAAGTTAATTTTTTTTTCTCTAAAGAGCTGTTAGCAGTAGTACGAGCACAGACCAAATGCAGTACATTAGACAAGTTCAAATGCATTTCACCTTTGACCACAACCCCTGTTTAAGTCCAGCACTGAAGGTGAGGGTAGCACCAGAGGAACATACGACACTGGGCAGAACAACTGCAAAGGCTTGAAAAGCATTCAAATACTTGTTTTATTTCAGTGAAATATTTCTTTACCAATCGATTTGGACTTCTGAATTTAAGGGATCCTGCCCCTATGTCCTAAATGTGAGCAAGTATCCAGCTCTGTGGCACCCCAGGGARAAAGGAGCAGTGCCACTCTCATAGCACACTGCTGAGGTTATAGGCACTTTCCCCCTTCTGACCCCCTGTGGTGGAACAGTTTGCCACACAAATCCAAGATTGCTTAAATAGGTATCTAAACTCAGACAAGCAGTTAAGCGGTGACTGAAGTAGTGCACAAAACCTGTTTGCTGCTGAAGTGAGAGCTGATCTCAAGCATCTCATCAGCTCTTGGCTTTAAGGAGCCCATGCTCATTCTGCCTTTGGTGCCTTTTCAAGAGCCACAGGAAGCCTGTTGATGAAAATACAGGCTCTGCTCATCCAGCACTAGCAACAAGTGACAGGTCCTAACTCATTCCCCTCTCTGATGCAGAAAGGCAGACAGACTTACATATGCATTTCCCTGCGGCAACAGCTTTGTTTCCTTTGGAAAAAAAAAAAAAAACAAAAAAAACCAAAAACCCAAAAAACAACAAAAAAAAACCCTGCAGCTGCTTCCTCCTGCCTACCCCCTCCTTCTCATTTCCTAAAGGAAAATTGCCTCTGGTAAAGAAGTATAAACAAGGCCATTACCATACCAATTCTTTCTCCGTAACTGGTAAACATCTTAAAATTTAAGGTGTTGGGGGCTACTAAAGTCTTTTTTTGAACCTGTTGGCACAAAGCCTAACATCTTAAAACATGATCTAACAAAAGGAGAGGGCAAAACGAAGGTTCCCCCTGTTCATGCTGGAGCCTGGCCAGAACCGAGGCCACTCCTGACTCCCAACAGCCTCCAGCACACTAACACAGGTTCTTCAGCTTGAACAAGCTCACACAAATTAGAACACTGCTTGGTAACAATCAGCTACATCTAAATTAAGTGGGTACGCAACCCAGCTTTGCTGCTCACACTTTTACACTAAAATCACTCAGCCTGCCTGCTCAGTCATAACTGTCCTCGCTGAAACAGGAAGGGAAGGAAAAACCTGTAAATCCAGGGGTTTCACATTTTCATCTGCAGGTGGAAAAACCCTGCAGCTGAATGCTATTTCTGGAATTTACAAATATCACTTAAGTCATCAATTGGTGCAAAAGCACATGTACTGTACTGCACCAAGGGTTCAGGGGCAACAGAGTCCTAAAGACAACAAAAGCATACACACAATACCCTAAAATACAGCTCTGAGTAGTGTCCACGCTTGTAACAGGAACAACAACACACGTCAGAGCAAGGCAGGGGCTCTGACGGAGCAAAGGCTAAGGATGCACGTTCACAACTGCTCTAAGGCACATTTACAGTGGTAAAACAGAACAGACCCTCAACCCTTGGTCCAAAGGCCAAAGTAATGATCAGTGAGATACACACTCATTTCCTTTAGTTTCTCTCTCTAAACATGATTTATCACTTGAGGCTTTGACATGTGACATCGAATTTCTGTACTTCAGGGATTTTCGTTCCAGTAACTGAGCCTGCCCCACACATTTTCCAACCAAAAAAAATGGAAGAGTACAACTGAGAGCAGAGCTCCCAGGCCTGATGCCGAGCCTGCAGGAAAACCCTTCTTTCACCATGGCAAGGTTACTAGGAAGAGAAACAAAATTTAGTGCATGATGACTTTGTGAGGAAAGGCAGGTAAGGCAGCTTTATCCTAAGGTGCATGCTAAGTTGGACACATGAGTCTGCCAAATTCACATTTTCATTTCCAGTTGACTTGAAGTCCAAGATGCACTATGCTTTACATTTAAGCATGAATTTCAAGAACAATCTAAAAGATTTTCTGTGGTTATAGCCTATTGAAGTTAAACTGTTTGATTTCACTTCAAAATCAAGGTGAAAATACTTCACAGAAAATTATAAAGAAAACTTGAAACAAAATAAGCCAGACCCACTTCTGCATGTTCCTGAATTTTGTTTGACACATCTTAGGAAACCCTGCCAAAATCCTGTGAAGCACTATTATTTACTCTCCTTCACAGCAAACTAGAAAGGCTTTGCCCAGAGACTTGCTTGGGTGCAACTGATTAAAATCCAGTTCAAAAGAACCATGCCACCCCAGCCAGATATGAAGAGATTTGTTATTCTAAGTCTTAGAAATAGAGTGGGTTTGATGCCAAAAGTGAGTCTGTCCAAGTTGTTGTTTAATAAATGAGTCTGTCTAAACTGAGATTTATCTCATATCTGCCCCTAAAGGCAGTAAGAACTGCTTTTTTTTAAATATTTACTTAATAATGTAGTTAGTTATAACATGTTTTCGTTTCCATTATCAGTGACTAATGGGGGTATTTTGTGCATATGTGGTAACTGTCCCCCTTTAAATTACCAGAAACAATTGCACAGTACAGTACATGCATTTCATTGTATTAAATCGGTGTTCACAAGTTCAAGAAAATGCTTTCTGCACCACAACATTTCAAAAAAACACTGGAGCCATATTTTATTTTAGAAAGAAACACTTTTCTGATGAGAAATAAAGCTCAGGGTGTGCTTTCTAGTATAGAACAAGTTAAAAAAAAAAACCCCTCTCTTCCCATTGCAACACATCTCAGTCCTGTGACTATCCAAGAGCAACCCTTTCTTTTTCAGTAATTACTTGGTGCAATTATTTAATTACTTAGCAATTATTTTATTTTTCCTGGGGTTTGTACTGGTATATTGGGGAAATTTAGTCAGAACTACTCTGCTGATTTCTGGTGATTGTATTCTCTATTTCAAACAAAGCTATTAACAAAATGTTAGTTCGTTCCTATATAAAATCCCACAATTACTACTATCTCCAAAGAAAAACAGGACCTTAAAGAACTTAAACGCGTAAGAGTTATTTAGACACTGCAAAGTCTTGTCATAACKGTAGAGAAAGGTTTTCTGACCCCAGCTACATTTACAAAGGACCTCACAGTGAGCATGGAAAGAGTTAAGAGGCAGCTGCAGCATTCTGCATGCTACATCTGCAAAGTACAGAAGAGAGAGGGGAAGGCAAACAAACCAAACTGAAACCATTCTTCCGCGCCCGGCCTCTTCTTCCTGTGATGTCACGCCACAAATTGCCCGGCCCTCTGCTCTGCTCTCCAGAGGGAGCCGGGCTGAGAGCTGCCGAGGGCTGTGGGCTGCAGGAACAAACGCGCTCTGGAATTCGGCTTCTGCCCTGGCAAGCAGCTCCCTTCTGCTTCTGCTTCCCGCCCCATGGGGCCAGCCAGCGAGCCCAAAAACTTGTTGTAAAGAAAGAAGGGAGAGAGGGAAATGCAAGCACCGACACTTCGCAGCGTCCAGGAAATCGTTTCCTAAAGCACCCGCTCCCAGGAAATTTGGATGGACAAGGATTTGCCGTCACAATCCACAGCCAAGAGTAAGGCACAAAGTCCTACAATGGCTTCATTGAATCGAAGAGGGACATGGAACTAAGCGAGCTTTGGGGTGACCTCATCTACCACAAATGATGTATTTTCTGACTTTTGCAGACTGGCTATGTGATTACAAATAAATAGCACTTGGCAGAAAGAGTGACCTCCTAGTGATTTCTGCTGGAGGTGTACTCCCCTACCACAGAGCTCACCTTCCTTCCCTGAAGCTTCCCAGAGTAACAAACTTGCTAGAGCACACCGTTCAAATACATCTGATCTGCAAGTTCTCTTGGAATTTCAAAAAAGAAGCAATAACCACACCAGAGAAACCTCCAAATCAGAGGAATTTTTAACATACCATTATAATGGTAAGCTCTAATTGTTCCACTGAGGACTCCTTTAAATATACTTTGTATGGGTGTATCTTTAGCATGGTGTTTGTTCTCGGCCTCATAGCAAACTGTGTAGCAATCTACATTTTCACTTGTACTTTAAAAGTGCGAAATGAGACGACAACTTACATGCTTAATTTAGCCATATCAGATCTGCTTTTCGTGTTTACATTACCCTTCAGGATTTATTACTTTGTAACCAGAAACTGGCCATTTGGAGACATTCTTTGCAAGATTTCTGTCTCCCTCTTTTATACAAATATGTATGGGAGCATTTTGTTTCTGACTTGCATCAGCGTAGATCGCTTTTTAGCCATAGTGCACCCCTTCCGATCCAAGACTCTTCGGACCAAAAGGAATGCAAAAATTGTCTGTGTTGCAGTATGGATAACTGTGCTAGCAGGCAGCACACCCGCAAGCTTTTTCCGGTCCACAAATCTCCGGAACAATACAGAGCAAAGGACATGCTTTGAAAACTTTTCAGAGGACACGTGGAAAAACTACCTATCCCGGATTGTTATCTTCATTGAAACTGTTGGGTTTTTCATTCCTCTCATCCTGAACGTGACCTGCTCCACTATGGTCCTACGGACTTTGAATAAACCGCTTACATTGAGCCGGAATAAAGTAAGCAAGAAAAAGGTACTCAAAATGATTTTTGTCCATTTGGTGATATTCTGCTTCTGCTTTGTGCCTTATAATGTTACCTTAATACTTTACTCCCTTATGAGAACGCAGACCTGGGTCAATTGCTCAGTGGTGACCGCGGTCAGGACTATGTACCCCGTCACTCTGTGCATTGCTGTTTCAAACTGCTGTTTTGACCCCATAGTCTATTACTTTACATCAGATACCATTCAAAATTCCATAAAAAAGAATCGGTCCACCAGACCACGGGATGTCAGATTCTCTGAAAGGCCAGTTTCAGAAAACTTCATTCAACACAGCCTTCAGACTATAAAAATGAAAATATTTGACAGTGACTCTACAATATAAACTACAATAAAAGACTATTTGGACTAAACTGGAATTGGAAGCCCACATATTTCTTCAGCTGTGGACATATGTTCTGATTTGCTTAGGTTGTGCTTCCTTCACATCTGAGAAGTTTATTACAAGGCTGTAAAAGTGTAAAGCATAATAGTATACAGAAAAAATATTTTCAAAATCTATGTCAAAGGTCTGTTCTGACAGATTGTATGTTAGAAATGAACTTTTGGGTTTAGATTAGGTTAACCAAAGTCCAAAGACTGTTAGTCAAGTCAAACACAAATGAAAAAACAGGTTGTTTTCTCTTCCTGAAGTTAAAACAGTTGCTCAATTTAATAATTGTGTCAGTTTCCAAGTTACTGAGGATGGGGGTGAAGCTACCTGCTTTGCACTGCAGGAAAACTGTTCCATATTGTGTTATCACTTCAGCTACTGTGCCTGCTCCAGTTTGTCATCTTTTCTCTCTCACTCCTTCCCTATGTCTTTTTTCCTGCACCTTCCTTCTTAGGAACCATTATGCTCATACAAAGCTTCAATCAATGGGTTAACAAGAACTTTGTTTCTCCCAGGTTTACCTGATAAAAATATATGCTTTCTCCACAAGCCTGGCCCCCATAAAGCAATTAAGTCTTCTGCTAGCTTAGAGCATTTGGAAACATCTCAGACAACTGGTTTTTCTTGTCACTTCTCTCTCAGAAGCCTGTGTAATTAAAACAAACTTGTGATGACTGAAGTTAGTGCTTTAGGTACAGTATCACTTTATTAAACCTTTTATGAGAAGTTCTTCAATTCAACATGACTTTTGAGGGAAATAACATCCTCTGAATAAATTAATTCAATCCCAAGTCCAGTTTCTTAGAAAAACAGGACTCTTTCTAACTAGAAATGAACATGTGCATCAAGTCAATTATTTCTTTCAGGAAACTATTCGGTGTACCATAAAGAAATTCAAGATGCAGTAATTTTGGCACGCAATTTCCTCTCAATTTTTGTGTCCTAGAAGTAATTTTAACATGATCATTTAGACCCTCAAATGCTATTTTCTTTCAAAATTTAAAAAGTATAAAAATAAAGTACTTGGGACTATGTGGTGGCAAAATTAATCAAGACACTCTGAAAAGTCAGCACCACGTAAAAGGAGGAATCTACATATATTACTGTTACAATGGGAATACATAGACAAAACTGCTTTGAAACATCTGCTATATATGTTTCCCAACTACTAGAACACTGTGTACATTTTCCTCAGAATTAATTTAACATCACTGTAAAATAAAATAAAATATGAAAGATAAAGTGTTGTTTTTTCCTTTCTAAAAATAATGAAGTCAAGAATAATAACAGTCTAAACAAATTTGCAACTGAAGATTTAGGGAACTCAGTTGCAACACAGATCTAGCACTGAAAAATTTTAATGCCAGGGCTTTATACAGAGGAGTGAATCAATGCTGGAGAAAATGCATATTGAGCCACCAAACTATGTGTGTGGTTACTTGGATGAGTTTATTTCCCTTTATAAAGCTTCTGTTTAATTATAAATCAACTATACATTGCCTCCTAGTATTGGAAAACTGAGTTACTCAATTACTGCTAGGTAACACTGTTTGAATTTAAATTTAACAGTATTTTCAATCTTTACCCACATAACTTATGAAAGGAAAATTCAAATACTATGGGCTTAAGCGTCAAAGAAAGCATAGATATAAATGTCTGCATAACATCTGAAAACAAGCAATTATCTTCTTTGGGAATCCTAAACTCTTCTGATTCATATCCAACTTCAAAAACATGCACCAAAGTCTCAGCATGAGTAAAAATTCTGTATGTTTACCACAGTCCAAAAATAGATATGCATCTCTAAGGTCTCAATGCCTCTCTCTCTCTAAAGAGTCTGTTTAATATTAGACTCCCTCCAAGAAATGTGACACAAAAGCCTCAAATGTCACTGCTGGGCTATGTTTCCCCTGAGCTTGTCAAAGCCGTTACTCAGTCGAGAGGCAACTTGTTCAGTAACACCCCTCTGCTTTACAGTAGCAAGCATCCCAGAGCCCCACCCTGGTAAAGAGAAGCTACTCTCTCTGAGATTACAAAACTGGAGGGGAAAAATAAAACCCCATCACTGACTTAAAAGCAGAACAAGCAGACAAAGTTGCATATATGAGTACTCCCCTTTAAACCAAACGTCCTTTGGTGTATTACCTCAAGCAGCCTGCAGAAGCAGACAGTAGCTATCACTGCTTTGCACTCCTTCTCCAAGGCAGCAGCTTCTGGTTTTTGAAAGAGCAAAGGCAACATAGTACAATAGCTTTCTGATCAGTTCGTAGCTCAATGTACAGAAGCTATTTGAGGAAACTATGTATTTTTTTATTATTGAACATTTTCACTCTTCCACAGGTAAAAAAAACTCAAACCACCAACATAGACCCTAACAAAAAAAACCAAAAACAACATGRTCAAAAAAGCATAAACTGTAATGCTGAGAATAAGACCATTAGCTGAAAAATTCCTGGTCTGACTCCCAGACAAGGGAGAGGGCAGAGGGGGAGAAAAACCACCTCGCCCAACAAGCTGATATTAAGACAGGGTACCAGCTATTCAGGACTGGATGAGGTTTTCTTCACCTTGTCTGGTTCTGCAACAAGATTATCCTTGAGACCTGTGGATGGAGCAATGCTTTCACGGGTACATTCCTGAACAGATGCACTCCCTCTCTCTGCTCTCGACTTTGATACCAACTCTTCTCTCTCTCTGCTGGGTCTTATGCCAAAATTTAAATGTAGAATCTAGATGAGAAGTTACATTCCTAAGTCAAGCCAAGCCATCTCAAATAAAACAAGTTTTACATTGCCAGAGCTCCCAAGGATCTGAATGTGTTGCAACCAATATTTCCTAAAAGTGCATTATTTTTTACTCATTATTTTTACTCACACAGGGAGAGTTAGAAGTTCAGTTTTAGGATGCAAACTTAGAAAATTGTTCTTTGTAGTGCAGTTTCTTCACCTAAAAAGTCCAGAAAATGTACACTTCCTATAAAAATAAAAGCATGGCAAATTTAGTTGATTCCAAGCATATTTTTGATCTAAATCAAGGCAGGTAGATATTGATAACTAGCTCATTAACCAGCAGTTTTAAAAGACAAGGAAAAATAAAAAAAATTCTAGAAACACCTCAGATTTACCTCAGCATATCAGTACTTCAGAATCAAAAGACGTCCTATTTTACACTTTCTATATTCAGCTTAAAGTTTTAATTTATGGCTTTTGTAGGAACAGAATGCCAGGCAATTTTTTTTCACCTCAGCATACAAGTCTTTGACATTTAAGGAAATACCAAGCCAAATAGGTATTTACATTTTTCATCTAAAAAAATGTGTAAAACGTGTAAAAAATCCCTTTAGAAGACATTTCAGGCAGGTAAGGAATCCTTAACTGAAATAACTTCCAAACTTTTGTTTCTTGAGAAAGTAACCTCAGTCACAGAAATGCAAAAAATGAAAAAGAGCTCTTGAGACTAGGTAAAAGATAAGAATGGCTGTACTGGATCAGACCCCAAACACTAATCTACAATCCTGACTCCAATAGCAGACATGGCTGGGTGCCTGGAGAAGATAACAGCAGGATAAGCACACAAGCCTTTCTCAGGTGCTGTCTCACTTCATCAGTCAAATCTTGGGACTTTCTGGGTCAGATATATTTGCGTGTTCAGCAAAAATATTTCTTCCGTAGACTTGTTCTGTCTTCCTTCAAACAGGTGCGAAGTTTTTAACATTCACAGTGGTAAAAAGTTCACGCTTTGTGTGTGTGCGTAGGGGGAACGAAACTAAGAAACCCAAACAGCCTTTTGTTTCAAATCCACTGGTTTCATTAGTGCCCCTCTCATTTCTTGTGAAAGACACAGATGGTCATTCAGTCTGTCTGTATCACTCCTGAATAGACAATCTTCCATCATCTCTTGCAAATGAGAAAGTGATTTTCGTTTGCAATTTCAAGCACCATCCTAACCAAAGATGAGATTTCTAGAACTACAGGAAAACTCAGCTAAAACCAGAGAATCAGTGAGGTTCACTTTGAGACTGGGAATTTTGAAAATGCCACCTGAGCACAATGTCTTATTCTGAGCCTTATTTATTGTTTCAAGTTATTTTCTAAGTTATTTTTAATTTTCTAAGAGTTTTATCAATGAAGAGCAAATTTCTCATACTTTTCCAACAGTAAATATAATAAGGTTCTTGCATCTAGGCAGACCTGTAAATCCTGACAAGTTCCCTTTTTTGCCAGACTATTATCCTTTAGACCTCAGGGTTTCTGGCATTTGAGCACCACTGACAAAATGAAAGAGGATACATTTCAAAAGCTAAGGCAAAACGTAAATCAGAATGATTCTAAATCTAGAAGACAGAAATGTCTAGGCTGCGTTTGTCATCCAATTACCAGAATGTTGAAAACATTGTTATAAACACAACTATCACTGCATTAGCACATTTACAATGTACTCAGTAAGGGCTCATTTAATATGAGCCAAATTCAGAAAGACAGGCTTGCACAGTCTAATACTTCTGCAAGAAGCTGGATGGAGAAGTTTTGCTTTGACAATTCTACTTTGATTCTGAAGCCTTTCAGATTTATCACCTCACCCCCATCCAGTTTCGGTCATACAGCTGCTTACAAAGCAAGCCCAGTTTTTCCCTTAAGAAAACTGAACTTACCACAAAAGTAAAACAAATGAAAAGAACCCTTCACACATCTTCTAGTCTTCTGTAAAACCTACCATGTTGTTGGAAAGCTAAGAATTCCAGAGCTGAGAATTTAGATTTTAAATAATTCTTTCTTTCTACTTAAGACACAATCTGCCCACTCTAGTTCTACCAAAAATAAAAGTCCAGCAATAAGAGGGGGTAAATTTTCTACAGTTTAAACCTGGGAATCAAACCACAAACAATGACAAATTAAGGCTTCTAGAAAAAGTTCTTACCCTTTTATGATGAGATAAAAAGAATATTTCTCCAGACACATAACTTTTATATTTGTCCTAACTCTACCTTTTTAACAGTGAGTTTCTGCCTTAAAAAACAAAATTCTTTAATAACAAGGTTAGCAACAGGAGACATCCAAAATTAATGCTGCCATCTTGGGAACAATATTAAATCTATCTCACATGGAAACAACTGTGGCTAGGTTAATTCCTCTGCTTTTCAGATGAATTCTGCAAATACTGCTGCTTAATGAAAGGAAGTCAACTGGAAAAGTTTGTTAAGTACATAGCAAGATATGGACAAAAATGAGACTAAAGATGGTGAAGCAAGTATCAAAATACCTGTCTTTTCAGCCTAACAAAAAACATGAAATGAAATCAGAATCCAAAAACTGCTGGTCTACTTGAATACGTAAGTTATTTCACACTTCTAACATGTGAAAGAAAGTTTATTGCATACATACGCTGCATGCTATTGTATTTCACAGGTTATTGTGGGCAGCAAATGCAAATTAAAAAAACCAGCACCTACTGCTGCCCAGATAAGATCTGTGAGTTCTTCCCAGCTGCTGTAAGGTGCAGAAGGCACAGAGAGCGTGCCAAGCATGGGCTCTGCTCTGGGCAGGGTGATTCCCAAATGTAAAGGACAGGGCACTGACAGTGCAGGTGCTAAATCGAGCAAGTTCAGAGCAGGCAGAGTCCACCTGAATGAGCCTCAAGCTTCTGCTCAGGGATTCAGGAGAACACCGGGAGTACGCAGAGGCTCTACACTTGGCTGTACCATGGGCACTCACCAGCCTGCACCTACTCCAATCGGACAGGCAAACCCAACACAAAGGAAAAGCTTCCACAAAACCTACACAGATTACCTTTCTGGAGGATGGTGAACAGCTCAACAGCTGTGGACAGGGGGATCCACAACCCTGACAAGGGCTTTTTATTACTGGAAAGTTACTGTAAGATAGTGATACAAACATATAACTGAAACACCATATAATTATATAGTATAAAAATAGGAACAAAAGCCTACAAAAAAAACAACTCAGAATCAAATGTGTGCTTTTATGCATGCACTAATTTAAAGAAAGGGCAGCAAGCAATGTAACAAAAAAAATCTTCCAACAATTTGACAGTTTGATGCAATACTGGTATCACCTTAAGAGATTGAAAATTGAGCAATTAGCTGAGAAAAAAATCCCAAACTTTCACATCAGAATGTTTGTTTGGCACCTACTTTGCTTCTTAAAAGACATGAATTTTATCGTCCATAGAAAAGTTATCAAGAGAATGAGTCAAACAGCATAGCAATAAGGAAAGAAAGACTAATAAAAGCTTATGACAGTTATTTAGGACTATGGTTCAGATAAAATAAGCCAGACCAAAACAAAGAAAACAAAGAAAACCAACCAACCAACAACAATAAAAACCGAAGAACCAAAACAAAATTTCATTCTATTCATTTCACCAGTTTTGTTTCACTACAGAGATTTATAAAATTACAAAGTTGGAGAGCATAGTCCCTTCCAAGGTAGGAGCAACAGGGATACACTCAGAGAATTTAACCCAAGCTTTATTTGCTTTTGTATTTAAGGAGTCAGTCACATGAAACTTGCCCCAATTCAGCAAGATTTTACAAAACTGAGTAACTGCAAAGACACCTCCCTGAATTTTAATGTATTTTTCCCTCATGGGCAACCTTTAAGCATTCCTACAAAGTATTTACAGTGCAGATACAGCAGTGTTGCAGGATGAATAGCTGAAGTTCAAACTACCTAGAAACACAGTAGGACTAAAGTCAAACTCCTGCAGCTGTGGTATGGCCACCAAAACATTGGACAATATTTTTAAAAAAACAAATTATAAAACCCCCCAACAACTTGACAGGCAAGGATTCCTAGAAAACTATTTCACTAGTCCTTTTTACTTATAATCAGGCAACCTTAAAGATAAACAGACTAAAGAAAAGTCTGTTAATGACTAAACATGACTGAAGAAAAGTCATGTTAGCACATACTTATTTCTGTGACTAACTCTGTATTTCGTACTGGTGTACAGACAAGCAAGATACCTTTACGCTGCACCAACAGAGCTGGCAGCTCTGCTGAGCACAGCCTATAAATCCCAGCTCCCGGTTGGAGCTGTAAATCTATAACCAGAGAGATCCTGACACAGCCTGGGTAAATGACCTCCACGTGAAAACACAACAGTAACTACAGGCAAGATACTCAGCACTAGTAGCTACCTAAAAGCAAACCTAGGCATAATTACATAATCACCTCTTGCTAACCTTCCCTCCATGCTTTAAGGAAGAGGAAAATGCAGTTATGGAAAGTAGAATTTAGAATATGATTTGCTTCTACTAACCTTAACAGACAAAGACTATCAATCTAGTTTAGATTTGTCATTGAAATAGATGACAGCAAAAAGTGAATAATGACATTGTAAAATACCTGTATAAAATAAATAGAATGAACTGCTTCCTGAAAGTACAGCTCTGTCTCAAGCACAGAGGAAGCCTAAATATCTAAGTTATAGAAGCAGGACTCATATCCCCCTAATCAGAGAAACTCTATACTTTGAAGCAGTAGACGCAGCAGGGAAAACTTAAAATTCTTAATCAAGAACAGCATCTAAATTTCACAGAATGAAAACTCTGCATAGTTGCTGTGTCTTAGGTAATCCCTTTGGTCGTGTTCGTACTTGAATTAAGAGCACCTTAAGGGTTGGGCTGACTTGGTATACCTGCAACAGATAAACCTGTTAAGCTGTGCTAACATAACCAGTATCTTCCACTCCTAGTGAGTACTTTGTACACTTAGAGAGTGCCTACCAAGAAGTCAATACACTGTCAACACAGACAAAAGCAGGAAACACACGACCTCAACCTTAAATGTTCTGGCTTCTCTTCCAGCAGCCTAGAGGATTTGCTTAGATGGTAACACCCAAGCATGAATAACAGCTTAAGTCATCTTCACGATAAACAGGAGTGGCAGGGAAGACTTTCAAAGTGATGGGAGAGACACTGAAGACTCTAATTCACTATTCTTCCTGGTTTTTCAATTTGCCTTCAGCTGTTCAGGCAGA